GAGAGAGAGAGAGAGAGAGAGAGATAACATATAATTATTTACAGATGAAGTGCGTCGAAGGTTTTGACACTGAATAGTGGAGAATTTGGATCCTTTCTCTGGATCTCTATGTCCTTTGTCGTCTCGACCAATCCTTTCCTTATGATCTTTTGCAGTAGTGACTTCTCCGCTGGCGAGATCTGCTCTTCCGACGTATCGTCGTCGTTTTTGCAGTCTCCATCTTTCACGGATGGAGCTGGGATGGACGTCGAGTTCGGTTTGTCCAAAGTTAAACTCGTTACCTGTAAACAAGACATACGTGCAATTAGCTTTCTGCATCGATTTGACACGGCGGTTCGAAACTCGGATCAACTGGATGTTCGTTAGTTCACTTTTCTTCAAGCATGGGAAACGCATGCGCGGTATTTCGACAAACTAAGGAAAAGATCAGCCGTGCAAGGTGAGGTTATCGCCGTAAGGAAGAGAATGAAAATTAAATGTCTGAAATCCAAGAGGAAGTCGCGAAACCGGTGATAACGGTGATTCCCTGTGCCTCATAAAATCGGTATCGTGAAACATCCAAAGCTTGATCACGCTTGTATCGTAAATGTAGCGTGTCCGCAACAATCCCGCTTTTTTACCTTCGACGCCAATTTCTCCTGCTCGTCGGTGTACTGCCCCCAGTCGACCTCAGTCGAAGCCATTTCCACCCCGGGTCAATATCCGCGACAAAGAAACCGATGACTGAGTTCTGAAGATAAATCTCCAAAACTCGAATATGTATATGCTATTTTTAAGTATTTTGACCCAAAGATCCGCTCGTATACGTTACAGGACAGGTGTGTGTGGCGTGCACTTCGTCCTACTCTCGATAGTCTTGATGTACTTTTCGCGCTATCTCGAAAGGAGAATACTCAACGCACTCTCGTTGTTGGATAGCGCATGAAGTTGCGCGCGCGCAATGCGAAATTACGAAATATGATTGGTAATGCAGGAGAGAGCGTTCCGCATACCCGGCCAGAGAGGATTCTCTCTGATCCGGCCAATACAAACAATGTTGAGTTCATAAAATTAGGCTTGGATGCCTAAAGCCGGTTCTACATTAGTTGCAAGCCGATCGCAAACTTGTTGCGGCAGCCAATCCGAAGCATTGATTTCAACATGCAAGCTTCAGATTGGCTGTC